ATGTGAAAACTTTGATTTCTGCATTAAGGTTTTACCGTTACAAGATCCAGCAAATACATAATTGGGAATGACAGAATATCAAAAGCACATTGCCATTCGTGATCGGCGCAGCAGTATTTGCAATTATAGATGTAAAAACCATCGCATTTAATTTAATTTGCAATGCGATGCATTATGAATAAAATTTTATCTTTAAATTTCAAACTAATGTACTTTACTCGATGAAATAATTGGAACCTACTAATTTTTATTACACTATATGTTGAATCTGAATTCTTTAACAACTCGGGTACATTTTAAAATTCGATTACAACCTATGTTTATTTGGAACCTGGATTAATTCCATTCTGGCGTACAACATTTACAATATGTATCTTTCTCTCTTGGTATATTAATATTAATAATAGTAACCTTTTATGATAACATTAGTATTATCATCAAAGGTTACTATTTTACAGCAAAATTGGTTAACTAACTATAGCATGAATATCCAAAAATAAGCATTTTCCTCTCTGCAGTATTGATTACAAGTGTTCATCCTTAATATTACATAAATTGTATCGGTATTGTACGAGCGTATGTAGCATTACGCAGTTATCTTTATCGTTATCGTTATTAAAAATGTGGACAAACCACCTTTAACCAAATATTGCCGCAAGTTGATCATCAAAATGTGTTTAAAATTTATTAAGCCACGTTATTCGGTAAAGAATTTAATTGCTAAAAAGTTTTAATATAAACTGGACGCAGCAATTAAAATCGGAGTACGGCACGTACATGTGTATATACCTTATTTATACATACATGTTTTCTGCACAAATGTATAATTAAAAATTGAAAATTTTTGTTTATAAATCCGTTATAATAAAGGTGAAAGATGAAAAACTATGAGTACTAATGAACTATTAGAAAACTTATCAACGAAACTTGGTCAAATGCTTATAAATACCGATGATTTTAATACGATTATTCGAATTGGACAAAATCCAAATGTCCAAACGTTTTATGCGCATTCTAATATCTTGAGAGCATTATCGCCTTACTTTCATAAAGCGTTATCGAAGGATTGGGTAAAGAAAGAAGGTTTGTTTTAATTATGTTATGTTCTATTTTCCAATTAATCTTTGAAATTTTTAATTATACTTGAAAAATATTTTATTTCTCATATAAAAGGCGAAATATTTGTTTTTGAAAAACCGAATGTTTCGCCATCTTGCTTTGAGACAATAATTAGGTAAGCCATTAATCGTTTGAGATTCATAATTCATCAATAATAATTAACAAAATTGAATCAAACATTT